ACATAAAAACAATTGAGAAAATTAATTACACTATAATTTGTTCTTTAAAAGAATCAATAAAATTGACAAACCAAACAAGACTGATCAAGAAAAATCAATATGACATATATCATGATTATTAGAAATGAAAGATGGGCTATCACTACAAACCCTGTATTACTCTTTTTTTATTATTATTATTATTATTAATCGTGTAATTCTAGTTAAAAAATTAGGAAATACTACAGACCACTCTATGAACGTAAACTGGCTAATCTAGATTACATGGAATAATTACTTGAAGAGAATTTCTCCTATGATTGTAAAGAATCTGTAGACTCAAAACTCACCCAAGGTGAAACAGATAACCAAAGAATCACTGAACTACTTAAAAACTTGAATTCATGGTTAAACTCCTCTGATGAAAGAGTCTCCAGGCCCAGAAGTTTTACTAGCAAATTCTAGCAAACGTTTAGGAAGAAATAACACCAATTTTACAAAGATCTTTTTAAAAAATAAAAGGGAGGAAACACTTCCCAGCTTACTTTATGAGGGCAGCATACCCTGATAACAAAACCAGATACAGAAAGTACAAAGGAAGAAAATTACAAACATATATTTTCCATGAACAAGGAGGCAAGCACACTCAACAAATATTAGCAAATCGAATATACCATGATCAAGTAGGGGTTTATTGTGAGAATGCAAGGTTGATCCAAACCTCAAAAATCAATCATTGTAGCTCACCATTCAACAGTTTAAAGAAGAAAAACAACATGATTCTATCAACTGATGAAGAAAACACATTTGAGAAAATTCAACCTCTATTCATAATAAAAAATTCTTAGCAACCCAGGAATAGAAGAGATCTTTGTCAATCTGATAAGGAACATTGACAAAAATCTTGAAGGTAACGTACTTACTGGTGAGAGGCTAAGTGCTTTCTCCCTAAATTGAGGGGCAAGGTAAGGATGCACATGTTTACTACTCCTATTCCACATTATAGTGCAAACTCTAAGGCAATCAGACCAGAAATAGAAATAAAAGATGTGGAACAGAGAGGAAAAAATGAAACTTTATGTCTTCACTGGTGACATGATTGATGACAGATAATTTCAATAAATCTATAGAAGACCCTTTAGAAATAATAAATGAGTTTCAAGATTATAAGGTCAACAGACAAAAATAAATTGTATGAACTACTAAACAATTGGAAACCTAAATTGTTTTTAAAAAGTAACATTTACAATAATGCCTTCCCAAAATGTATACTTAGGCATATAAATATATATAAATATAAATAAAGCATGTGTAAGATTTGTATACTGAAAACAACAAAATGTTGATTAAAAAAAGAATAACATTAAAAAAGAAGAACATTGGAGGAATCACTGTACTCTATTTTAAGACTTTGAAAAGCTACAGCAGTGAAGACAAGTGTGATAATTGTGAAGGGATGGACACATTATGCAAAAGAATAAAATAGCCCAGAAATAGAAACTAATGATTAAATTGATATTTTGTTGCTTATAACAACTTCATAGAGATATAATTCAAGTAGCACAATATTTACCCATTTCAAGTGTACAGTTTAGGAGGTTTTAGTGTATTCACAAAATTGTATAACAATTACTAAAATCTAATTTCAGGACATTTTTACAACCTTAGAAAGAATCCTCTATCCATTAGCGGTCACCTTCCCCCCTCAGATTCCTTCTTTCCTGCCCTGGGATCCTCTGCTCTACTTTCTCACTGTATAGATGTGAATATTCTGGACAGTTTATATAAGTGGAATCATACAATACGTGGCCTTGGGTTTGGAGGGAAGGAAGTATGGCTGTAAAGGACACATGAAGGATTCTGGTTGTGATAGGAATGTTTTGTCTTTGTCTTTGACTGTGTCAATGTTGTGACTTTATACTACAGTTTTGCCAGGTATTATCCTTAGAGGCAACTGGGTAAAGTGTACATAGTATATTATTAATATTATGTCTATGTTATTTCTTACAACTGCATTTGAATCTACAGTTATCCTATAATAAAATGTTTGTTAAAAAAGAACCATAACTACATGGCCTACACGGCTGAACAGGATTTCCCAGCCCAGGTATTGACCTTTTAGACTGGGTGATGCTTTGTTGTGGGGGTGCTCCTGTGCCTTGAAGAGTAGCAGTATCTTTGGCCTCTACCCACTGGATGCCAGTAGTACTCCCGTTGGTAGAGACAACCAAAAAACGTGTCCAGACATTGCTAACTGTCCCCCGAGGGGTAAAATCACCTCAGTTGAAAATCATTGTGCTGATATTTTTATTGATCTTTTACCTTAAGTGCTAATATTGTGAGGTACTTTCCTTAATTCATTTTCCACAATTTTGAAAAACATTAAGCTCATATATGGCAAAGAATGACAGACACATTTGTCCTTGTGAGCATATCTTTGCACTAACTCTCCGTACCTTGCATATTAGCTAACTTGTTTCCATGTTCTCTCAGACATTTTATTCTATAAGGGAGGCTGAATACCTATTCACAGTACCTGCTTTTATATTCTCATATAGGAAAATGTTCTAATTTGCCAAGATTAATAATGATATGGTATCAAATCTACTTACAGAGAAGGCTATGGCAACAACAACAAAAAAATCTGTGACCAATATATTGCTGACTATATGTCATCAAGATAGTTCAGTTTCATAATCTAGCAGATGGACTCTTCATTAATTACATTTAGTAAGTAATACAAAATATCAAGAAAGAAAGAGAAATATATTAGAAAAGTATCATGTCTAAAGTAAGTAGAGCAATGGTTATTGATTAAGCAATAAAAGTTATTGATTAGCGTGAATTGTTGGAAAGGAAGGGAGTCTTCTTGGTTCCCATATCCCTTTCTTTATAATTCTCTTACTATACTTCTTATATTATTTAAATGTACACTTAAATTAGAGGTTGGCAAACTATGTCTTACTGGTCCAATCTGGTCTACCACTTGTTTTTTTAAATAATGTTTTTTGGGATACAGTCATGCCCATTCATTTACATGTTGTCTATTTATGCTTTTGTGCTACAATGGCAGAGCTTAGTAGTTGTTAAGAGGTTGACCCAGAAAGCCTAAAACACTTGCTGTCTAGCTTTTTACAGAAAAAAAGTTGGCGATGCTGATTTGAACTATAAATACATTCTCACTAGGATATTAGACTACAGATTATGGGGGGAAGAAGGCATCATATCATTCGTCTATTTGACTTATATAAAGAAGTACAAATGATATTTGTTAAATGAAAGAAGAAAAAACAATAGGAAGAAAGTGGAGGAGGAGGAGAAAGAAAAATTAAAGTGTAGAGGACTCAGGAAAAAAAAGGCTCATGTAAGAAAAAGCTAACTGACTGGCTAGAGCAAGAAGCACCACCTAGAATATAGTAGGAGATGAAGAAAACTAAACAAAGCAGGGAAAGCTATCATAATTAGTCTTAAACCTTCTAATAGAAAATTTAGTTGTCCTAAGTAGCAGTATAGTTTCCCTGCCTGGGCTTGACTTAAAAGCCAGCTGGCCGAGGGGAAGTTGACTATGACTCAGAAGGAAAATCACAATGTAGGTGTACACTGAGCTGAGAGCAAAAGAGACCTATTTTCCTGTCTCTACTCAAGCACCTGCCAGGAATAAAGGCGTACTGCTTGGCCTCTAATGCTTGGTTTATAGCACAGATTAGGAAAGCTGTATCAGTCTAGAGGCAGGGCACTAAATCAGAAATATTAAAGATCACTTGCATTTTTAATATTTACGGTTCTCTTGTCTCTAAGGCTCTGGATTCACTTTAGTGTGCTGGTGGTTTTTCTAGTCAACTTTTGAAGCCTTGTGTTATACTTCATTTAACTTCCCTTCTCTTTGTTATCCCAGCTGAGCCTGTTAAGTTGATTCCATTCTGTGATTCCTAGTTCCATTTGGAGTTCTGTGTCCCTCAGCCTGATGAATAACCTGGGCTTGAAGTCCACTGTCCTCTGTCCCAATTAGTCCTACTTCAGCCTTCTCCCTGGGAGCAACATTCAACAGCATATATTTTAATGTATTAATCAAGCTGAGCGTTGTACCTTATATTCCTTCTGACCATAGCTCTTCAATGCCAGAGACACTGGTTTCACAAGGAATAGCTGCTACTTGAAAGAAATCACCTTTGTTTGGCTTTCTGGTTTCAGAAAACTAAGATCTTGGACTTGCTGAATTTCAAAAGCCCAGCTCTTATCAATAAGGAACACAAAGGCAAATAACTAACTATTGAAGTAACTAACTAATGAATAAATAACCTAAGCAGTGTGGAAATAAAATCATACCACTGAGGTTTGAGATATGACAAAGATGACTTGTTTAGTTCATTTGAGCCCATATGCTCCACTGCAAGGTAATTCCTAAAATATAAAAGTTCAAACTTATATTGAATTAATACCTTACAGATAGCTCATATACTAATATAATTTTAATATGAATGAATTGAAAGAAAATTACTAAAAATAACTTGGCTAAGGCTGAGGGGCAAGTGAGTAACCCAGGAAGGTGTAGATCATGCTATTGATTCCTAGTCAAGAGATCATTCCATTAACTGACACTATCAGGTGAATTAACGGAACTGAGCTGCTCATAAAGAACGGCCTTAGAAGCTTTAGACCAGCTTCCTTGTGCTCAAGAATTGCCATGTGATGATGGGTCCCTGGCAGCCAGGCTCTGGGTATTTGGAACTTTTAAAAAGGGATCATATGATTAGGTTACTTCCACTCCGTAATCTCCCTAAGGTCAACTGATTAATAACTTTAATTAAAACCCAACTGTAAACTACAGACTCTGAGATTTTCTTTACCTGAAGGCGGCTACTGTCCAAATGATGACATAGTACATAAAATGTGAATCTTACAATGATAAACATTTGGAAGGCACTATTTAGTAATTAATAAACTATCGTTCTGGCAGTTCTGTTATGATTTACTTCACTGGTTTCCAAAAATAAGCCTTTTCTCTTTACCATTTTTTACAGATCCACGTGTTTTACTGGACAGTGTGGCATCAAAAATTGGTGAGTAATGAACGGTAAAGTGGCACATCTCATGACCTCTCCAAGGTTTCTGGAAAATGAAATGATGCCAGTACTCTCATGTCATGTCCCCCAGCCAAGGAGAAGTTCCCATCAGGAGTTTGCCATAGCAGCTAACAGAGAACTCTACACTGGAACATTCATAAATTGACACTGGGGCATGGTATTTTCAGATATTTACTAGAGTTAGCTTTCCTTTTTGCCTGTTGAATTAGAATTCTCAGTCCCTTTTCTTTACTCTTTTGTGCTTAATTAGCTTCCTTCAGCACTTTTCAAGGGGATGCAGTTTTGTGAAAATAATTCTTAGAAATGTGTTAGGGTGTATAGCCTTTTCATTCATTAACTCTGCAGGTATACAATGATAAACTACTCTAGTCAAGACAGCCAATTAATTAGATAAAATATTGCTACTCAAGTAATGAAATTATTCCATGGAACTGAGCTGATCACAAAGAGTGGTCTTAGAAGCTTTAGACTTATTTCCTTGTGCTCAAGAATTGCCCTATGATGATGGGTCCCAATCAACCAGGCTCTAGGTATCTGGGACTATTAAAAAGGGATCTTATGATTAGGTTAGTTCCACTAGGGTAATCTCCCTAATTTCAGGATATCTGATTAGTAACTAAAATTACATCTGCAATTTATATCCATGTAAAAGGGTTTTTCTTTGTTTTTGTTTTTAATTTAAGAGATACTAGGGTACCATGGTAGAAATCTCAGAATCTTACTGAATACAGCTGGTAAGCCCTGCCTATTCTTGGGCAACTGCAAGTTCTTGATAGGTTCTAGCTGAGAAACGCTGGCACAGTTTTTCATATCCTGCTCTCTTCTTTTGTACTAGCGCTCATCTTGAATCCTGATTCTGCTTGTAGCATCATTTATATGCACCTGAATATGCAGTTAACCGTGTTCAGTGGATCCATCTGTGGATCATCATTTTGTATTCTGTACCCACATTCACCAGTCAACTGCAGATTTGAAATAACTGGAATAATGTTGAAAACACTCTGCAAATTCATTCAGTTTCAAATTTATGTACTCTCCATTGTACTTTCTACAGACACCTAAAATTAATCATTCACTACATGTACACACACTGGGAAATAGAAAGTCTTGAGCCGAAAGAAAGCCAAAACCACAGTTTTAGGCATTGACTTTCAAACAGTGGCCAATCATGGACAAAGGTTTTTTCCAGAGGTGCTGGAATAGTCTTTGAGTTCTCTCAGGAGAGGCATTGGTTTGAAAGCAGACAACCTGGCTGCCAGGTAATGACCAGGCTGTATTCCCTATCAGCACAGAACCACCTGGACAGTTTCCATTCCTGCCAGGTAGAGATTTTTAGAGTGGCCAGCCTCTAATGCTCCTGGCTCCAGAAAAGTGCCCAAAGTGTATCCATGTCTTACGTCAGATCATCTTAGAAAGAAAACCTGAGCTGAGGATTCAAGTGCAAGTGATGTATAAAGACAGTGCCTCCAGGAGAAACTGATAATGGACTTCAGAATGGGGAGGGAAAAGAACCAAGGAAAGGGGCACTACAGGTGAAATTCCAGGCTCAGCCTGTGGAGCATACATTGTAAGTCAGTTTGTCACGCCTCCAGGCAAAGGAACTGGGCTGTGTATCTTTTCACCAGATAGTCTATGAGTCACCCTAGGGAGATACAAACTCCCAGGCAATTCCAGCTAGTGCCCCACAAAAGCAAAGTTGCTCCAGTAACCACAGGGCAATCCTCTGAGAGATGTTAGAAGGAAAACACACAGAAGGTGGAGTACACATCATGGGTAAAGGGGAACTGTAGGATCTGGCCAAGGTACCAACTGGGGGCCTTTACTATCTTACTTCTGTAGGTTTTCTGGCAAATGCTCATCTATCTCCTGCGATCCTGTCTCCCACCTCTGTGACTTTCCCTGGCTATTCCTCTGAGAGTCACTCTACTGCTTGTGTAGACTTTTAGGCAGGGAAGTGGAAAAGACTTCGTTAAGACAGGAACCAGTGCTGCAAGTTACCACAGCTAGTATAAATAGAAAGAGTGCAGAGGACTTTTGGCAGTGGACAAGCTTCCCACACAAACATTATGTCCATTAATAAGCTGTTGCAGGTGTTTTCTAAAGACCCGAGGAGACAAACTGCTTTGGAAGACAGTGTGGCATGGCAGATTAAAGAGCATGGGCTTCAGTCATGAGACCTGACAGGTAAGCACCCATGACCTCTGCCCCTGGCATCACTCCCTGATGATTGTTACATGGTAAATTGGATTTTGAAGATGTAAGATTACTAAGAAGGTGACCTTAATGTGGAGAGATTATCCAGTTGGGCCAAACTTATTTAGATGATTCCTTTCAGAGTCTCCTGGTAAGATCACAGCCTGGCTAATACATTGATTTCAGCCTAAGCAAAAAATTGCACATGAGGCCACCCTAAACATCTGACTGTAGAACTGTAAGATAATAAGTGGGTGTTGCTTTAAGATGCTAAAGTTGTAACTTGTAAGGCAGTAATAGAATACTATGTGCAAATTCTGTCATTGTTACTGCTAAAGTGCTGTAACTATACATTATTTTCCTAAGGCTGCTGTAAGAAAGTACCCCCATACCTGGTGACTTAAAGCAACATAAATTTCTTGTATGTTTAGAGGCCTGTAGTCTGAAATCAGTGTCACTGGGCCAAAATCAAAATGTCAGTAGGACTGTGTTCCCTTAGGGGCTCTAGGGGAATCTGGGCCTTCCCTCTTCTCTTTGGGTAGCTATTGGACTTTCTTGGCTTGTGCCTCTATTCCTTCCTTCATCTCTGCGTCCTCCTCCTCCTTTTCCTCCTTCTACCCCTTATGTTAGTAAAATCTCCTTCTGCCTCCCTTTTATAAGGATACATGTCATTGTATTTAGGGCCTATCTGGATAATCCAGAATAATTTCTCTATCTCCAGATCCCTAACTTAATCACACCATGTCTACAAATGTCTTCCTCTCCCCCTCCTCACTCCTCTCCACTTCTTTTCGTTCTTTTGCCGTATAAGGTAACATTCACAGATGCGGGAGATGAGGTCATTGTATCTTCAGGGGTAGCCATTTTTCAGTCTTATTACCCACTGTGAGCAGCAGTTAACATCTCTCTGGGTTTCAGTTTCCTCACTGGAAAGAAATGGGGCTGAATACGACTATTTCAAGGGGTTAATGTAGCAAGAATTAATATATAATGTCTAAAACATCTACCATAGTGCCTAGAACAGGGCTGACATCCAGTGAAGGATAATTATTATTTTTACCAGAAAAGCTTTGATCAGTGGGGACATAGGTGAAAAAAAAATAGGATCTTCTAATATAAAGATATTAGCTCATCCTTCTTTAATCTATTTGATGCTTGAAATTGTCCATTTATCAGCTGTGTCTGTTTTAGAGAATTGTCAAATGACTGCTGTCTTACTACCATTATAATTCAATTGGATGCCGCTTTAACTCTGCAAATGTTCACTCATTCTGCTGTGTGCAAGGAACTCTGCTGTTCACCAGGACATGCATAGCTAAGCAGGACACAATCTGTGATTTAGTCAGCCTCACAATCCAGCCAGGCGGGAACAAGAGTTTTCCATAAATACTTGCTTCACATACTATGTCCTAAATAAGTTGAATATTAATTTAGTTTTTCCCCACTTTATGAGGTTTGCATCCAAATTTGAAAACAAATAACCATCATCAACAAAAAACAAGTCTAAGCATTAGATAGAATTGTTAGATTTATGGTCAGTGAAATGCCAACATGACATAGTACTCATGAATTTTTTTGCATGTGAATTTTTTTCCACTTTACAAATACACATTGTTCTAAGGAAAATCCACATAAGAAGGATTTGAAAATGATCACAATTACTGGTTTTATTTACCAGCTGTCTCTGCCTGACACCCCTGCGTCTCACTGTAGGGTGCCCTGGGCTGAGGAACTCACAGAGAAACAACTGGCTCTGGGACCCTCCCTGAGTCCTGGAAAGTGTTTTGTGAAAATTTAGGCACCTGCAATAATGTGAAGCGCCCTGAAATAATTTTTTTTGCTTTAAATGTTTTTGTCGTGAAACTATACTTGTGTATTGCTGTCTATGTTGGCAGTAGTGTTTTAAGTCAACATAATTTCCTATAAAACAAAAGGAAAAGACAGTGACTCACTAATCTGTTTAAAACAGACAAAACATTAGATAAAATAGCAGAAATTGTTCCAAAGTTTTGTTTTCTCTTTTCTCTCTCTCTGCTTATTTGTTTCTTTCTTCTAACTCTTCTTTTATTTTTGATTTTTGTCCAATTAGATTTACTTTTGCAATTAAATTTGCCTCAATAGTTTGGTGATATACTAAGGTTAACTGTCTCTTGTTAACCTTCAGAATATTCCAACATGGTCTTCCCTCTCTCATCAGCATCTGATGTTCCATAGACAAAAATAGAATATAGCATATAGGGACTGGGAAGAAAATGTAATAAAATTAAAATTTATGCAGAGATTTTGTTGTTGTAGAAATCTTTATCTTTTACAAGAGAAGCCAACTGCCAGCAAAAGCAACTGGCAAAATAGCATACAAGCTGGTAAGGTGTTGGATATTAATATTTGAACTATGATTCTTTGAATCTGGTGAGATAGAAATACTTTGATTTATCTTCTGCATGCTAGATTAACACCTCATGAAACAGACATGAATAACAGTATATTTCAATGTTCAAAAAGATTCTTTTGTGTATTTGTGGGACGATGCAACTTCAAGAACAATATTTTTGAAAGGACATTGTTAAGCAAATTATTAGATCGATAGAGTAGACTCTCAGTGCCACATATGTTGTTCTGCTTGCTTTGTGACTTCCACAATACAAGCAATTCAGAGGACATAGAGAAGTTTCAGAAAGAACGGCTTCCAGCTTCTTTGTAAGTTCACTGTGGATAGGGTAAATTAGGCTTTCCCTTTTGAAAAATGAAAGAAAAAGTCAGAAATGCTTTTTCTTATTGTTTGGTTTTTGTTACTATTACCTGTCTAGGCATAAATTCAGGATACCAGATAAGCATCTACGATCTGACAAGGAAGTAGCGATTTGGTGTGGTGGTAAGCATATTTGTTTGTACTGTCATTTTAAAAGGGCCCTGCACATTTTGCCCACTACTACAACCAATTTGCGGGTTAATGATGGCCAAAGAAAGGCTTGTTCTGGGCTAGAAACAAATGTAGAACCAGAGAAGGGCTGATTCACATTAGAGAGCCACCTCACAGATGTCAGGTTCCCCTCCTTGGCCCTGCCTTTTGTACCCAGTCCCACCTGTAAGGAAGCCAGAAGTACAGGGCTGAGTGTGATTAGAGATATCAAAATTCATTTCACAAAACATTTTTCTTCTGTTAACAGGTGTTTTTCTTTTCCCAGAGAGGTAAGAAATCTTGTGATTTATTTCCTTTGTTTCTCATTTATTTGAATAGAGTTGCTTGATGTAATAGTTAAAATAATGCAGGTTTGCTAGTCCATATCATAATAAAAATGATTCTATTTTAAATAAACCACAATTTTAGCACCTTTCCAGAAGTGACCAACAATAAAAGTGCATATTATACATCTGAAAAATGTGTAGGATTAGCTCTCGTTGACTCCAACCAGACATTAAAATCTGCCTTTTTATAGGCTAGAGCCCATGAGCTTCACTGGCCTGCATCCACGCAGGGGCAAACTTCTCAAACTTTCAGGATAGGAGAAAATCACCCACATACATTTCACAAAGTCTTATTACTTCCATTCTAATTTAAGGAGTAAGCAGAGCCCTGGGTTTTGACAAATTCAAATATTGCAGCGTATTATAAAAGAAGAAGAGAAAAAGGCATGGAACTGATTCCCATCTCACGGTGCCAAAAGGAAAACAGGTTCGGTGCCACAGGTACGTGGCACATTACTTCTCTTTGTCCTCTTGAAAACAGTGGTGTCTAAAAGCATGTTCAGGAGTCATCAAATTTCCCATGTTAGTTTACAAGAAAAATATTCCAACCATAGCTTTGGACGTGGGGACTTGCTGCAGCAGTGAATCCTTGAAGGTGACAGGTTACATAATGAGTTTGCAGCTATGCCTGCACCTGGTCCTGGAAGGTTGCCACACCATGAAGAGAGCACGCCGGCTCACCTGCACTGGTGGACAACAGACCAGTGCTGCCTCTGCACACTTGATAAGCTGTTCTGGTTATCAGGGAGACTGATTGAGCTGTTCCAGCTGTGTATTGCTACTGTTTGTTCTCTCTTATTTGCTCACCATATATAATGAGTTCCTCAGATCTGCAAGAGTACTTGGGCTTTGCTTTTATTTAGAAACTGTTTTTCTTTTGTACATGAGTGATTGTCAAGCATTCAATTATAGCTGAATTTGAAATGGTTAGGATCCAGTGATAATTGATTTCAATGTAAATCAATAGAGTTTCTAATCAAGCAAACAAGAGCTGTCTGCAGTTCAATGCTGAATAACTAGTTAAGCTCTGACCATTTTTACTCATGCCTAAATCATTAAGTAGTATTTTATTTCCTTTTTGACTGGATCTTTTTGTGTCTGGAAATGAGCAAACTGTTGACATTAGAATTTGTATTATTTTGTAAGCCTGTACATTCCAGGCCAGAGAGAAGCACTTGAAATGCAAAAACGATTAACAGAAGTGCTCAGGAATATTTGAATTCTATGGAACATTTTTATAGGGGAGGTGAACAAAACCAGGAGCCATTTGGCATTAGGTGTTCAGACTGCTGGTTTAAGGCGGGTGAAGGAAGTTAAGTGTTGTTGTTGTTTGTAATACATAATGTCGTGATTACACAGCATCACTGCAGAGAGGGTTAGGCTTCAGAAGATAACCAGACAAACCAGTTCTTACGAGTGTGGCTGATTGGCTGCTTTGCTAAAGATAAATCTTTCCTCTTCCAAATATTCTGAAAAAAAAAAAGTAGACTAATAGCGAGAAGTGTAGTGATTTGCACATTATCCAAGCCATTGAGTTATTCCTGCCTGTCCTCATTCTGGTTCTTGATTTGCAGGCCAGCTATGCTCTGCAGCTGGAGCAAATTATATCAGCAGAAATGCTGATGTGACCACAAGTTGACAAAAGGACATGATTTCTAGTAGCAAAAAAGCAACTAGATTTTATGAAATTGTATCTAATAATGTTGTTTAACTCATGGATCCTGCATCTGACGCCTGCTTTTTATCCAGTCCTTTCAGCGGCCCTTTGTTAACAGTCACTCAGAAGAGGAAATAAAATGTAGCCATTGAAATAAAAATTGCTCTACTCTTTTTAATAGCTCAGCTGCAGGCTCTATTGTTTTATTTAATGGATTGTATAACTGAAGTCTCTCCTCCTGATGATTCCCATTTGGCTTCTGAGTCCCCAAACTGTCAGAATCTTAGGGGTTCCAGAAAGGAGGGCAGTCTGGTGCTTTGCTTGTTCAGAATACGAGTGGGTAGTAAAATTGTTAAGATTCTTTAAAATGTAATTCCTGCTCTGGACTCTACTATGTGCAAGCAGCAGAGTTTTCTCATCAAAAGAAAGCAAGATTAGACTGTCCCATGATTCACCAACTCTAGTTCAGGACACAGGAGAAGTTTGCTTGGCTTAAATATACAGAGGCAAGTTGTGTTGCAGGCAGTAGAAAGGGGATAAAAGGAAATAAAAAGACTAGAATAAACAATTGTCTTCTCTCTTGTCAGAATTACTGTGTTGTCCTCTAATTGACAGATGTGTTTTCTGCCCTGGGAACCCTCCATTGCATCTCTGTCCTCCTGCCTGCCTATCCATGGACAGTATGGGAGATGTACCTGCGAATCATTTGACTTGTCATCCTCAAGAATGTCACGTGAATATTATGTTTTGAATTATTTAATATTTTGGGGGCTTTTCAGAGTAGTTAAAATGTGTCTGGATTCTGCTGGAAGAATTACAGGTAAAATATATTTTGCTTCTGCTCTTCTAAGATAAAACTGCATTGTGTGTATATTCAAAAGATCAAAGTTAAAAAAAAAAGTGCTTCCTACATAAGAAAAGTGGTATAAATACCAAAAAAAGGACTGACCCCCTCTGTGCTCCATACTTAAACATGAATGAATTTCAGGCTATTTACCTGACTAAAATAAACTGTTACGCTATGATTCTTAGAGAATCCTACAAAAAGCTTTTATAATTTATTTTTGTCCTGCTTTGATTTGTTTACTCAAAGCAGGTCCATTGTTTCAGGGACAAGAGGAGAAAGATTTGTTACATCATGAAGTGCTAAGAAGCCTTTCAGCGGAGGGAAGATACACAATGTACAAAGCAGCTAAAACAAATCATATGGTATAACCTGTTAAGGATGTAATTGAGATACATGTAATCATTAACCTTGGAACAGACTGGGAATCCGTTAATGAATCAAATCAATACCCTCTCCACTGATCCATAATAATTTGAAAGAAATGAAAAATTTAACAGTTACTGTATGTGAGGTTATCATGGGCTGCAATTAGCTAGCCTCTAGGAGATTATGTTACCTAGTTACCAGAAGGTAAGTATAATTTCCGTAGATCTTCTGAAAAGATTGTCATAAAGACAGGTGCCAGACATGGAAATGGGTCAGGAAAAGATACCTGGTACGGCCAAAACCCAAGTTATCTTTCTGTCATTTCATTCCGTATATCCTTCTTACGACATTTCATACTCCCAGTTAATGTGGATGTAGTGCTTTGAAAAGACATTACAATTGAATTTTGTAAGTTTGGAAAAAGTGATTATCCCTTTTTATATCTTACTACATGTCTAGCTCTCACAAGAGATGGCAACGAGGTCAAGGCAAAAATTCTGCAGTTGGGAGCAGAAAAACACATGAGCTTTCTGCTGTAGGCAAGATACTTGTGTATGAAAATACTTCATGTTTGTACAACTCCCTCGCCTTAACGTTTCCAGCAGGTCATTATTGCCAGTGGAATTTTATAGAGGGAAAGTGGGGAGGAAGGAATGTCTTGCCTCTACTGAACCCCCCCCACCAAGTTTTTTTACATCCTCATTTGACAAGTAGTATGTAGCACCCTACAAAAGTGTGGAAAGAGCAAAATGATCCCAAGGCCCATGGCTTTTATATATATTGCTTTTATGTAAATCGGAGCTAGAAAAAACAATCTTGGTATGTGAAGTTCCTTAGGAAAATCTCATTTTGGGGGAGATATAAAAAGAGATACTGCCATTCTCTAGGGAATCAGTAAATAAAACGGAGAACAGAATTTTTTTAAAATGCATGTAAAATATATGCGTATGGAAATGTTAAGAGCCTTATTTTATAATGCCAAGGAGGGCACAAGATAAAAACTGTTGTCATTTGTTTCCAGGGAAAGCAGTCGGTGAGACCCAGGCACAGTAGGATAGTTAGTTAGCTACCACATGTAAAGCTGAGAGCAGATGGCGCCGCCGATATAGAGCGCAGGAATGTGCGTGTTTATGCGGGTGCGTTTCTGTGCGTGTGCGTGTGGAAACCAGCAAGGAGTTTGACACTGATGTACTCCATCAAGTCCAGTTATAAAGAACAAGTAGATAGAACAACATTCTGTGCATCTGGCAGCCTAACTAGCTCTGTCAATCTGTGGATACTGCTGACATTGTACTATAAGCTTCGATTCCATCTGTGTTGTTTATTTTGAGCTGGATTTACTGCACACTATGTGAATTGATGATGGCTAGAAGGTCCAAAAGATTCCGAGTCTGTTTAAAGTTCCAAGGTGTCAAATTACACAGGATTGTGTCACGAACATTATGAAAGGGTGAGTGGAGAGGCAAACTGATTTGAGTATTTGTTAGACGTCCAAGAAAAATTGCCGAAAATATAGATGAAGAAGGTTTATGAAAACATCTACAGAGTACATACGAACTCCTGCAATCAAATGTTTCTTTTTCAAGTTGTATTGTGTCATTTTAAAAAATTCAAAATATGTACAAACAAATAGACAAGTCAAATCAGCTCTCCATTCTGAGGTTGTGACATGCATATTATTCAAAACTTCCTGATCGGTACCATACTAAATTGCCAGAATAAAGGCATGGACTTGATGGGTGAGGGTTACACCTGCCTTCTTTCTGAATAGCTAGAACTGAGAAACAAGCATGTGTCTATGCACTCACTATTAAGTTACTCTAAGTTACTTCAGCTTCTTTCTGTATAATGAGACATTTTTAAATCTTTCTACTGTACTGTTATGAAACAGGCTTTGTTATCATCACCAAGAAATCACTAGATATATAAATGTATACAATATTCATTAAAAATTGTATTCTTAGCTGAGAAAAACTATTTGATGTAGGTCATCTATATCAAGGCTTTTGTCTGTTTTAATTTTTAACATAACATGCAGCTAAATGCTATGCCTGTATAGTGCCAGAACAGTCCTAAGAACACAGAGAAAGGGGATTTAATGGTTCAGGTGTTATATAGGCATCTATATATCTGATGGCATTTATTTCATGTGGTTGTCCTTGTGTGGTGAGTACCCCAGATTAGAATTTTTCTGCACTACAAATGATGCAGACTAGATTATGTGAAGTTTGGCTCGTCCTCATTGAAGGAAAAAAGCATTCTTCTTATGGTATAAAAATTTCAATTCATGCTTTTAACCCCCATTTACTTAGAGTTGAATTCAGTTGAATTGTGTTATTGAACACAGGCATATCTATATGAGTTTGAAAATGTTCTTAGAAAGGACAATCATCTTGCCTCCTTTGTCTCAGAGCTAGGAGAGCAAACAGTCTATGAAAGTAGCTCATTTGCTTGATAATCCTTAATATTCATTGTTCATAAGTATTTATTCATATTTATAGTATCTGTTAAGTAATTGGAACGCACGGCAATATATTAATACGATTCCTATCCTCAAGAAACTTTACTATAGAGTTGATGAGTTAAGCTATCCTTATAAAAATGTGAATAGCAATACATATTAAATATCAATTTAAAAATACAAGGATGGCACAAAGTAGACTAAAATTAAGTTAGAAGCATTTACTTTAGTCTTCTGTTGGACACTAGACTGGAGGCTTCCCCTCCATTAGGTATTTCACCTAACTCATCAACTCTATGAGATGTGCCCTTCTTCCCTGATAAGACAGAAGCTAGGGATGTGAATGTCATTTGTCTGAATGATATAGCCACTAAGTAACTGAATAAGGCTTTACTCTGATCCACCTCCACAAACATACATCTCACATCTGTTTTAAGAAATGTAAAGGCTTGTAAGGAGTAACATACAAAATGTTAGAACATAATGTAGCAGTGCTGAAACAGATGTATACATGGGGAGCGATAAGAACAGAGCAGAGGGCATCTAGCTCAGAAAGCTGATGGAGCTTAACAGAGAAGGAAAAGTGACTTGCTTCCCAGACAGGCACAGGCATGAGGCAAATACAGGGATGAACAAAAGGCAGGACAAGGAATGTAACTTTTGCAGCACATCCTGGCAATCCGTGTGGGCCACTGATTTTCCACAGTGATATTATGCATTCATAATAGGACAGAATAGGAAGTAATCCCAGTATACTGAGGTAATATGGAAAGACATGAGTCAGCGGAAGACCAAGCTCACTCAAAAGATTTTGAATAGAAAGTTAAATAAATAATTGGATATTGTAGGTGAAGTTAAAAGGGACCAACAAATATTTGGAGATAAAGATGTAAGCCAATATGGCAGATTGAAGGATGTACAGGCCAATATGGTAGATATGTTCATTTTCCATTCAGGCCATCAATTGCCTTATACAAGCTTGGAACTTGTTATTATCTGTCTAGAACTGGACTGCCACCTCTAAAATCCTAAATTGCTTTCTCTGACAACAACTTCATTCAGTCATCCCTGTCTCCAAACTGATCAAGACCTTTAATCCTCAAAATTATGTGTTTCTTATCAGACTCAATCTAATGCCTAACTAACTTAGATTCCCTGGTCTGCCCCTTCAACCTCTCTTTTTACTTCAAATTTCTTGCCAAATTTTCCTTCTATATTACATTTTCCTTGGAAAAACCTTAAGATCAGATCAATTCTTCCTTAGTTCCTGACCTCTCTTTCCCATTATTCAAAAAAGTTATCTCCATTCTCCTTTATGCTAGCTATCTTTTTACCCTCAGCTTATTATCCCTCCACAAAGAAAGCAGAACCCATCATCCAAACACTACAAGCAAAGGGACTTCAGTACCATGGCTTCTAACTCTTCCATCACACATATAGATGTGTTATTCCTTCTGCATGAGGCCAATCCTTCCATCTGTGCTTTGGATTCTCCTTCCCCCTCCCCTATCTCAGGTTTTCAAGGACCACAGTTCCTTAAAAATCTTGTGTTTTCCATTTTTTAACCCCAGATTTCCATGTGTTTACTGGCTCCTTCTCAAAAATTAGTGCTTCAATATACCTAAGTCTCCAATTTTAAAAACAACCCAATGCCTTTGTCCTCTAGTCACTCTTGAGCTACTGTCCTATTTTTCCCTTTCATAGGGAAACTTCTTGAAAAAGTGTCCTACAGTCAATGTTTTCCCCTGGCCTCACTTTCTGTGCATCCCCCAGACCACTGCAATCTGGACATCACCCCAAGAATTTCCTGAAACTGTTTTTAAATGCCTTGTTTCTAAATCTCTAATGGGTACTCTTGCCTTATTTACTTGTAGAACTTGATATTGCTGACTAATTTCTCATCTTAAAACATAATTTCCTTGGTTTAATGATACCACACACTGTCATTGTCTTTGTCTTTCTCTTCCACTGCCATTTCTCTAAATATTAGTGTCTTCAGGGCTGTCTCTTAGGCCCTTGGCTCTTATCATTCTGTACATTCTTCTGAGGAGCATCATTTATAGTTTTAATTACCCCTATATGCTTATAGCTTCATTTACATCTTCACATGAAAGCAATCCAAGGAATAAATCCTCAAGCACTATTTTCTTATGAGCCTCAGTAAGTCCTGTATATTTAACTACTCAACTTCTCTGCTTGGCTGTAGCCATCTGAAAGGCTACACCTTTTTAGCCAAACTTTCTAAATAGTTCTCAACTACGTGAACTTTTGTTTTTCTTTTCTAAAAACATTATTCTCATCCAGATTAAAGTAAACTAAGGGACTCAATCATTTAAGACATCTATAATTGAGTAAGGAAGTGGAGAGGATATAGCTCAAGTGGTAGAGCACATGCTTATCACGCATGAGGTCCTGGGTTCAATCCCCAGTCCCTCCTCTAAAAATAAATAAACCAAATTACCTCCCCCACCTAAATAAGATAAATTAAATAAATAAATAAATAAATAAATAAAATTGTGTAAGGAACTTATAATTCAGATGGCTGGAGGAAACAAAATTAAATGGAGCTGACAATATACCTCTCTTAATTAAATTGAAACAGTTGAATGAACCACAGCTAAAATACTAAATTTCAAAAGCCTAACTCATAAGAAATAAATATTTGAAGCACGTTAAGGACAAAAAGCATATCATCTTTATATTCCTAGCTCAAGCACTATGAACTTCAACAGAGTTGCTGGTCAGTTAATACTTATTTAATGAATTAACAGGTTTGTTCTTCAATACTACAGAAAAGCAAGAAGCATTACAAAATTCTGACCAATTCATTCACACCTGGTTATGACCCTTCTATAACTTATTCCATACACTGAATGGCTGATGAAGTAAAGATGTCAGAACTCTTCCCACTTGTGTCTGGTGGAATTACAAATTTCCTTAGAACATAATAATAAAAGGAATATCAGGCATTAAAATGATCAGCCTTTGTATTAAAATGTCCTGTCCTACAGCCTTAGTTTGCAAACCCAGTCACTATCCGTAGAAAAAAAAATTTGACTGGCTCAACCTACCTTATTGCTCTAATGGAAAACTAGAGTTTTACACATCCTGGTAATGAAGAAAGTTGAATCTTCAGCCAAAACAAACTATCTTCTTTTTCCTCAATTCCTTCAATTCCCTCCCTGAGCAGTGGGTATAGACTAACATGCTGCTAGAATTTGGTGAGTTCACTGCATCTTTCAGTTATGCTCTGGACTTCAAGCAAACAAAAGTGAAATTCTACTGTGATCCTATCCTCCTTTTATTATGAAATATGCAAATATAATAAAAAGTATAGAAAATGTAAGTGTCCAATTTAATAAGTTAAGTTATAATAAAGCAAACATCTATGTAACCGCCATATTTTGTAACAGATTACAAAATAGAACTTTGCCAACAGCCTACCCAATTATAACACTTCCCCCAACTCAAAGAAATCACTGTCCAGACATTTACAGTAATAATTTTCTTGCTTGATAGTTTTACCACCTGAAACTGGGGTGCTAAATAATAAAATTCTGTTTTTCTGTTGTGAACTTTTTATAAATGGAATCATATAGTATTTATTTCTTTTGTGTGACTTTTTTCACTTGATGGAGAAACTTAATTTCTCCGTGATGCGAGATATCTGTAGTTCGTTTGTTTTACTTGCCATCAATAATCCGTTGTATAAATACACCTTAATTTACTTTCCATTCTATTGCTGATGAACATTTGGATTACTCACAACTTTTGGCTGTTATGAATAAGGATGCTGTGATATTTGTGCACATCTAGCCTAGTGTATTTAAGCATGCCTTTCTGTAGGCTGTATAATTAGAAGTGAATGATGGGTCTGAAAAATATCCTCAAATTTACTACAATGAAAAATAATGAAAATGAATTTTTCATTGGTTGTACTAGTTTAACTAGTTTTAAAAATAATTTCTTAAATTCTGAAGGTAAATACCATCTAGTATTACATATTTCACATGGAAACAAGAAAAGTCTGACAAATATTTCAAAATAAAATGTAAAATAAAATATTAATGCCTAAAAAAGATGAGCAAATATTGGTATTTTTTTCCTGATGAAAATACACATTTTTTCATAAAAGTAGTAAGAAAGCATTAGCCACATTTATCTGAATTCTTAATCAAGCAATAGAGCTGACAGAAATAGATCCTGTAAAGATTATAATGCTTAGATTTTCATTTTATGGAATTCACATTTCTCTCGTAATATTACAAAGTTTGAAAATCTTGCTCAATGTGCAATTAAACCACCATTGTATGGGCTTATTAAAGAATGTGCTCTTAAAATATAACTCCCACTTGAATATTTATTTATAAAATTTTGATGATGACAAGCAGCTTTACACTAAAAACAGTAAATCAAATCAGAACTTTCTTTGACCTAAGAACTACTGACTGATTCTCCTGAAAAAAAAAAAAAATCCCATACTTTGATTTATTGCAAAACAAAATCCCTTTTCTTAAGTTATGTTGCAACTTTTGGAACCAGTATATGAGAGATTTTTTAGAAACTATGTCATGATTCTCAAGATGCCATTGAGAACAAGGTAGAGTTCATCTCTGCTGTCACACAGCTTAGCATCTAAAGTGAAAGTGTAAAGAAGGTGAGAAATTATGCCAGAGGAAAAAGGCACATTAAAAAGGGCATTTGAGCAAGTAAGACCTCAAGGACGAATGAGGCATGATGGAGAGGGAAAGACGAGATGAGTTCTAGGAAAAGGAACAAAAGCCCAGAAATAAGAAAGGAACTATATAGGAGGATCAGAAATTAATACAAGGGTCTTTGAAGTCAATCAGACATAGGATGAAATCCAGGTTCTCCAATTAATAGCTGTATGACTTTGGCTAGGTCACTTACCCTTTCTACTTCTCACTATAAAATGGAGATAATAAGATTTTTGCAAGGATCAGCTAAGATAATGTTTATAAAGCACACATAAAAAATTCTTCTGCAAAAGTAGGTAGCAACTTTAAGAGCAGAATCAACATTGTGGAGTTGGGTAGGTTCATATGAGGCAAGCATATAGAGAGATAAGCAATTTCACTCATCAGGAGTGTTTGGGCCACAGTAAATAATTCAGACCTTATGCTGAGAACAATGGGGAGGGACCCCAACAGATCTATGTTTCAGAAAGGAGGCTCAGGTAGTAGAAATGGGTGGAAGGGGAAAAGAGGCAGGAGAAAAAGTGAGGACCTGACCGAGGTTAGTGGCAGTGGAGACGATGGGAACTGGGTGTATTTAAAAGATATTTAAGTACAGGATATCCATTTCTGGCAATATTGAAGACAAGAGAACTAAAACTCTTTGTCTACATACCTAATAATTAATTTTGTGCATATGTCTGTCTACCTATATATTTTCTTTAATAAGTAAGTTTGTTTTCAAGTAAGAAAAGGGAATGCAAACGCTCTGGGGCCAGAAATGAAACATGAGCATGAGTCCAGGGAAGTTAATAAGCACTGGGGTAACTGCTGCCCTGGGTGTATCTACTGATCTTGAGTAGCCTAGTGCTTAGGTTTTTATGACTGGAACATATGAGGGAGGAGAGGCAAAGTCTCGCTCTACACATACCAACCTCTGCATGGATCCTGGATTCATAAAGAGCTAGTTTAAGAAAGAGATAAACTAGAAAACAATACTCTGCAATATTAGTATTAGACAAGTAGTTTTTAAGGCAAAAATCCTATTGCTAGAAATGAAGATAAAAAATAATAAATGTTTCAGTTCATCAGAAATACTAATTTTAAACTTACATTATTAGGTGTTTATAACTTCACAAAATATGAAGTGAAAATTTGACCTCAAAATGAGGCTTTTCATCTCAGTCCTCTTAAAAATTACTAGATAAAGATAAAATAATTGGTAAGGGTATAAAAGATTTTAACAACATGATTAAACTAGAGTTCATTTAATAAATAAAATATGTGTGAAACACAGGTAAAGAACAGTGTACCCAAATTCTGTGGTATACTTAGCTTTTCAAACACACATTGAACATGTTGTTTCATAAAGAAAGTCTTGAAAAATTCCAAAGAATCAATGTACACAGAACAAAACTGCTTAATATTAAATTAATTTAAAATTTAAATTGCTAAAATTTAGATACATTCAAAGTCAACAAAACCAAGAATATGTTTAAAAAGATCTAAAGTCATATATAACAGGACAACTCATAGGTCAAAGCCGATTTCATAATGGAAATTAGAAAATACTTAGATCTGACCAATAATAAGGACTATTTCAAATGTTGTTGGATGCAACAACAACAACAAATTCTCAAAAGGAAATTATAGCCTTAATATTCATCACAGAATAGGAAATAAAGGTTGAAAATTACTTATCAAACTTAAGAAGTTAGCAAAAACCCCAAAATTTTAAAGTACAAAAAGAAGTAGAAGTAAGGATATAATAAAGATCAGAAATCAATGAAATAGAAAATAAAGCTACTGTATTAACAAAGCCAGAAGTTTAGTTGTGGGGGAAACAATGACAAAATACTGGTGAGTTACCACTGCTTCCATTCATCTATACTAGACGTTCTGCAATTCTTTGTGAAACAAAAATACATAAAAGTCCTAAATATTGAAAAGGAAGAAATAGCAGATGACATTATAAGAAAAACTCAAAAGATGAATTATTAGAATTAATAGGAATTTAGCAGTTTATTATTTATAAACTATACCATTTTCAAGAATATGGAGATTCAATATAGTAAAGTTGTCAATTCTCTGCAAATATATTTATACTTTCAATACAAATTTAATCAAAACCTCAGCAGGATTTTTCATACATTGTGGCAATTTTTAAAATATATGCATATATATATTTCATATATAAATATATGAAAAAGAAAAATATGATCAGAGCATTCTTGAAGCAAAAGCCAGGTAAACTTGCTCTACTGGATATCCAGACTTATAATAAAACTATAGCATTTAAGAGTGTCGTTTTGCCACAAAGATAGAAAATATACCAACAAATGAGAGCCAAGAAATAGACCCACCATTGTATAGAAACACGACCTAAAACCGGGAAACTGATACATTTCACAGTCAGTGGTAACTAAACAGTCAGTTTCCAACTGTTAAAAAAAAAAAAGAATTTGTCCCTTACATCACATCATATACAAAAACAAATCCCAGATGGATTAAAACTTAAAAGCTAAA